CATTCTGAGCTTCTGAGTGGTTATTCATGTCATATATATTGAAGTAAGTGTATATAAGGGAACATTTCCAAAAATGGAAAGACGTGGGCGGGGTGCCACTGTGTTTGATTTATTACATGAGCAATATCTTAGCAAATAGTAAAGATAAGAGGCTCTTATTTTATATTCTAGTTTGTTAATATTGGTAATTTGAGTTTCTTATTCGAACGAAACTGTAGACTTAGTATTTTAACATCACAAACATCTAATTTGAACCAGTTCTGCATTCATCATACCACGTGACACACAAAAATCAATGTTTAACTGTGTTTTTTTTTAAATTTACTTTCAAATTAAGAAATGGAGTAAGTATAGTACTAAAATTGGGATTATAACCTGCACTTTGATACCAAATTTATTGAGATAAATTAATTAAATAGTAGTTCAATAAAATTTTGAATGCGAGTCAACAAACGAGATGACATGGCCTTTCAACCGCGACCTGTCTGGAGAGGGTTAACTCAACAGATATTCTGTAGTTTGATATTATGTACTTCACAAGTGTTTGTAATCTGAATTTATGTAATTGCAGACATGTCTTTTCTGAGGTTCAAGAAATTGTTGATTAAAAGTAATTTTTGAATGTTAAAATACACCAGAACTGAAATGTACATAGATTACAATGATATCTCCAGCAATATCATTTTTATGTACTTTATCATGAATCATGCTTCTCCGTAGAACTATAAAACTTCTGGAAAGACTAACAAAAATAGCTGCTATTGAATGCTCTGAGTTAGTGCTTAAAAAAAGTAGATAGACTTTGTTAAAGACAAGTTTCTATGGGACTTAGGGGGAAAAAAGTGACCATAAAAGTTGAAGAAAAATAGATAAAGTATTTAAAGTTCTTTCCAAACATTTTCAGGTGACTGGTGTTTGTCTGTTCTCAAGGAATGGAATGTGGCACTTGTGGATAAAATCTGAAAAATGTGTCATTTTCTTTTTCTTTGAATAATTTATTTTTCTGATTTTTGTTCCAGTAACACTATACGAAAATTATGGAAATGTTCATAAGGTCATTTTCCTAAATAGTGTAAAAAACTAATAAAATATGAAAGAAATATGTAAAAATGGGAAATTATAATTTTTATCATATTCCTTAACATATATTTATCTTTTAAGTTTTCTTTTGGTACGTTTATTTTGCCCACTAAAGCAGTTACATAACCAAATCCAAAAATAAAAATTTTATGCAGTTGAGGGTTACTTACTGTAGAATGTCATTATGCAAGGTACTGTAATTATTTCAGGTTGTATTAAAGTATATTATCTGTTAAAATAATAATGTTATGTGTTTTGTTCATTTTTCTAGCGTCCTTCACCTGGACAGAATGGACCACCTCCATATCCTTCTTCACAATATCCCCAGCCATAGTAAGTAGTAATTGCATTTTTTTTTACTGAAATAAAAAAATAGATTTGTAATATGTTGGTGGAACTCATTTATGCTAGTGAAACTACTATAAACATGCATATACACAAACACAATTTATGTTAAAGAATTATTGTCAAACTAAGGAAAGTTTCAGGTTTTTTTTAAACCATATCCAAAGTTTGAGTAGTTAATTGAAAACAGAAAAATGATATATAATATATTATTATGTTTTAAATATGTAACCCTATAAATTCTAGCGTTAGAATACCTATTTTCACATCTCCAAATTGAACTTGTAGTGGACAGTTCTTGTCTGCGTAATTCCTAGTCTAATTAACTCTCTCAACACGGGGGCTTGGTCATTTTAAAAACATGATCTTTTGTACTAATTGAAAGTCTATAGATTTGACACTACTAACTTTTAATATAGTGTGTCTTCATGAAACTTGGCAGTCTTTCAGTAAACATTGTAAGTCTTTCACATACAAAAAAAAATCATAATTTTAGTGAAGTATTTTTAATAAAGTAAAAAAAAAGATTTCTCTTTGAATATATTGAGTATTTGTTTTGAATAGTCCTTGTGCAAAGTGATTTTCATGTTATGATTAAAAATTCTTTTCTTCATCTTAAAAATCTCAAATTTCATTTGTATAATCTCTAAAACCTTCTAAATACATTTCAAATGTTTGTTTTCAGTAAAACTTTATATTTTATCTGTTATTTTCTCTACCATAAATCTATACACAGTTGGTCAGTTTGACCAACCTTGTAACAACCAAAAAAAATAAATCTGAATTATCCTTTTTTTCTTTCCAAAATGATTTCAAATGTAATATGAAAATACATTCGTTTATCCTAATTAGCTTTAAACTTGTAATAGTATACATCTATTTATAATTAAATTTTGTTTTTTGATTGCCCTTTCAATCATGTCTAACTACTATTCACTCCAGTTTATGATGTAAATCACTTGGGGAACGTACAGGTCATATTACACTATCGAATGACGTTACCCATAAGTTACTCTGAGCTGCTCGCATGCATGCTTTGTGAAATATTTTTATTATATTATTCTTATTATTTATCTTACCTAATATAACCTTAACTAACCTAAAGAAATCCCTATTTTTATACTTTAGTTACTTTTATAATAAATAAAAAATAAACAGGAAATAAAGTACTTACCCAAATATTCTTTTTTTTTTTGCTGTCAATGACACTTAATCCTACTTTTTTATACTAATGATAGTAGTGCATTGAATATTTTTTATTTAATTAAATAATGCACTGAAGACCATAGAATAATAACATGCAAAAAACAGACAATTTCCTCTAACAAGTGCTTGACTCGCAATCTGAGGGTCACACGTTTGAATCACTGTCACACCAAACATGCTCGACCTTT